CATCGCCGTTTCTCTTTGTTTATCACTTGCAATTTTTTTTGACATTTTTCGTTATTGAGTTTGCAATTGCAGGACATTTATGTTTCTGATCCCATGCTAGCGTAATGAGTGTTTAGGGCGTGGACGATGTGGTAGAACTCCGTAAAGGTCTTTTGATGACTTGCAGTGGGTCATCGGATAAGTTAAAGTGAGTCCTTCCAAGCTGCAGTCTCTGTTTCCTTTTCTGAATATGCGTTTTCACAGGCTTATAAACGTAATGCCGACGAAAAAGCTCGGTTCTGTAGGAACGCATGGGGATGATGACGGCATTGATCAGCTTCTGGTAGGTTAACTAGTGCTTTCATGAATCTTAAGCCCTAGGATTATTTCTTGTTTCTCAGGTATCTCCAGACCGTTCAACATTGATATCCATGTCGTCTTTTGCAAGTTCTATCAAATTCTGGCCTTTAGAGGACTTACTAGCCAATGTTCCTGTTCTACGAGTGGTTGACATCAAGAAACGCAAACCTGTCATCAAAGAAGGGTAAGATTAGAAGGAGCTTTCACTACATTCTGGGAAATTTATTGCTTGTTGTGATGCATTCAACTATTGCCTATCCTATGCAGAAAGAAGGCCAACTTTCCACTTATTTCTAATTTGGAGGATATCCTGTGGATTCATGAATGTCGCTTCCCACAAGAAAGGGTGGTTATGAAAGTGTTCCATTCCCATATGAGCCTCTTATTGTTCAAAATCTAGCCGTTGTTCCTCCAAACCACAGGACGTACGAAATGGTGTGAGTTCGAGCGCAGCCAAAAGCATAATCCCTTCCCTCCCCCCTCCTCCCCCAATTAGGACCGGCTCAGGGTGGATCTTTGGTGGGAAAAGGTCACCCTGGGAACTCTTCAGTTCTCGCCATGTCAAACGCCCTATCGGTCGCAAGGATCTTGAGTATAAACTGAGGATGCATACATACTTCACGTCGCTTGCGACCAGGATCGCGGGTCTCCAGTGGTCGTTAAAACGCGAGATAAGAGCATTTCAGTCGCCGGCGTCGTGAAAAACTCAGTTTTACATGACTTTCAAATACTGCTCCAACGCAGTACCAGATACGTTTGTTACAGATTTTTCGATGATCTCATGGATAAGAAGAAAAAGAAAAGAAGAGCTGAAGAGGAAGAAGATGATGATGATAATATGGAAAATGGAGTTGAAAATGGGTCAGATGAAGAATCAAACGATGACAATGAAGACAGTGAGGAAGATGATGATGAGGAGGAGCAAGAGGAAGACGACGATGAGGAGGAGGAGGATGATGATGATGACTCTGAAGATGACGCATAGACTTTTCGGGTTCACTTATCTATTTATTGCTCTTGCCGTTGTAGTTTTATGGTTGTGTTTGTGCTTTTGTGCATGTTTTAGTATTTATTTCTTGTTGATTTATGTTGTGTGATAGAGTTCATGAAGTTCTTGATTTTAAAGCTTGTACAATGAAGTGATCAGTGGTACCGCTTTCCTAAAATTCCTCTCCTTTTCACTTCAGTACTTTATTAAATTTAGATGTTTAATGCTGTCTTCAGGTAAATGCTCAGGTGTAAATTTTGTTCAACTGAGCGAAGAGAACAGTACAAATGTCCACGTTGTAATGCAACTTATTGCTCGCTGAGGTTGGTTTGCTGATTATTTATACTCCAGTTCGCGGCGGATGAAAGAGTGTGGCAGGCAGTATGAGTGTGCCACGGCACCAAACCTGTTCCTTGCCAGTCGTTGAAGCGGATATGTGACAGTAATTGTCAGGAAAGGGATTATTCTCTCGCTCGCTTCAAAAACTGGTGGGGAACGTGTTCAGCTCCGCGCCAAATTGCTCCAGCTTGACACGACGTTTTTGTCAGATGATTGCATCATTTCGGCTCCGTTCGAATAATTAAAACCCCGAAATCCCAATTTTTTTTTTCTTGAACCTTCTTATAAAAGTGTTAGGCAGCATTCAGACTTTGCGACGGCAGCGCTTCTGTCGCGCGTTCGACGCAGTCGAAAGCATGTGCATCGATCGCGCCGAACGTGCGGCCGAGAAGCCGTCGCGAAGTCTGAACGCTGCCTTAGGTGTTTGTCACAGATCTTACATTCATTTTGGTGTTATTTAGCGTCGTTATGCATCACCTGTTTTTTCACTGAATTTGTCTTAGGCGTGCATTAGGTGAGGGGGAGGGTTCTGATCGAAGGGTTCATCACCGTTATGAAAGAGAGAATTATTCATCAAATTTCTGGCGCTGGTGACCAAGTGGATGTCCTCACTCGCAATCAGGACCGTCGATCACCCCAGGATTTCGCCGGATTTGGAAGGAAAAGCGACGGCGCCCAGTCGCTGGAAACAATAGTCTGGTGCCAAATCGGTACCGTATTGTGGATTCATCGCTCTTGCTTTCCCACTATGTGCATGTTTATAAGGAATTTCGGATAAAGTCTTGGTGTCAAATCGGCTCCAGCGAATTTGGCGGCAAGTGGCGCGAACGCCAGAAATACATGTTTGGGCCAAGAATGCCAAAGAGACTCATAATTACAACTCACTAGTTAAACTTACAACACTCTCACAACTCACTCATGTTTACCCGGTGAATTCGGAGAAAAAGGTGTGCTCCTCAGAAGTTATTGCAGTATTTAATGCCAAGGAATAAGCACTTTCAGGGAGGATTTCTCAATTTTTGGGGTGGTAAGGGTTGAGAGAGGTCCTTTTCCCTATGCACTGTTATTATGCCTTCTGGGTGACATGCTGAAATGGAGTATAATTTGTTAAGCGCCAATGCTTCAGATGTTATAAGTGCGAGAAACATTCGGAGTGTTCGGAAAACTTCTACAAGCAATGTGTCAAAGAAGAACTGGAGGGACGTCGTTTCCAAGGAGATGGGAAAGGACAGGATACGTTTGAGGAGCGTATGCAGAAGTATCTGGATGGCGAGTTGGACGAGATGCCAGGTGCCGTTTCTATTTGTTCACTAGCTTCTCTAACTCTCTTGGAACGCCATTTATGTCTCAGGTACAAACGGGAGTGGAATCGCGACAGATGACGCCGACCCTCTCGATTCTGATGATGAAGAACCGGGAGCGAGTGGATTTCAGCCGAAAACAGAGCAATATTTGGAAAAAGTGGTCACAGACACTGTTGATGATTATTTGCTTGACGAAGATGAAATTGACCGCAGGTTGCTGGTGAGTCAACTGTTTTTTGCTTTTCTTTATTTTTCTTCTTGAATTGCTTTGCCCAAACATATCGAGTTACTCCTTCTACCCAGGCTGGAAATCATCGCTTTCTGCGTTTGTGCTTTGGAATAGCTTTCCCATTTCAGAAAATGGGAATTGGCGGAGAAGTAGAACAACTGATGGGTGTTTTGAGTGAAGAAGAACGTGCTGCATTTGCTCAACTTGCTGAACAAATCAACATCGATACAAGCGGGTTAAACGAAAGTTGCTTCAAAAAGCGCTAAAGCCTTTCACATTGTCATCTTGTCAATAAATCGGTATATTGATTGTCAAATTAATCTCGTGGTTGTTCATGGTTCGATCCGATTACCACTGCGACCTTTTTGTGCCTCTCTGCCTGCTCTGTTTTTTTTTTATTTTGCGGGAATATTATTTTATAGAATCGCTAGATAGATCTGGGATGCTTCGAATATCTTCGATTTCACGGCTCTGCTCACGCCGGTTGACAACCGTTGCAGAAGTTGTTGATGACACGGCTCAGAAGCAGGTTAGTAAGAGAGTTCTGCTTTTAGTTTATTCATTTTTGACTTACAGAGATGGACAGGCGGTCTTGTCGCTGCGGATGAAGGGGCGTGTCAAGCGGGATGGGTT